ACATTTTTTGTACCAGTTAGGTGCAGTGGAAACAGGAACTAGACCAGGCTCCCAGTGAATCTCATGCTTAACTTCCCTTTGCAAAAAAATCATTCAAGTGTATGAATCTACCACAAAAGAATAGAAAAGCATTAATAGAAAGTAAACATGCAATCTAATCTGACTGAGAAAATAAAGAAAATGGTGGAAGAAAACAAGAAAGGAAAAACTGCACATTGAGCAGACACAATCCCAGAATGCCGGAATTACAGAATTGCCTATTCACTGATTAGGCCTAGGCCAGCTCTACTGAGTGGAGCATTAGTACATAATCCTTTTTTCCAATTTTGATATTGAATCAGTCCAATTAATACAAATGCTCCATGCCACTCAGTAGAGCTACATTAGGCAATTTCTATGCAAGCGATGATTAGAAATTGAAACCTTAGATTGGCAATAATTGTGCAATGTAGTAACTATTAGTATTAACCATGGTTACCATTACCAGAGCCAATTTGAACAAATTAATTAAAACAAACATGATGAGACAAATTCTGAATAATGTAGCCTTGGCCAACACTGCATTATGATAATGTAACATTACAAGCATGATGCATGGCACAGAGCAGGGCCTCGATTGTACATATAAGTTAAAACTGTATCCGTATATCTAATACACATCAAACCCAACTTGGATCCTCCACTAGCCAACTTGAGCAAAACCTGAAGTGATACACGTACATAACTTAGCCGTATTGCCAATATCGCATGAGTGATTTTGCATAGACAATACGGTAGAAAGGATTTGTGGGAAGGAAAAAGGGGCAAACACTGCCCCTTTTCCTTCCCACAATGCCTTTATAATTAATTGTGTAAATCACTCATGCTGTAAACCGTGATACAGGTAGGCCAAGTTGCATACACCATTTACATTTAGGCCAGCATGCGTACATGTATGTACCACCAGATCATGAGGCCTCCTGCCGGCGCTGCTACCGTGACTTTACCTCATCAGGTCATGATCGTAGTGAAGTGAGCATATTTTCTTTTCGATATAGATACCTTTGCACCCTTTTTCAACAACTCCTCTGCAAACGCTCTTCCAAGACCCTCAGCAGCCCCTGTGATCAAGGCAACTTTACCCTGCACCCTCATGATGACTTTTCAAAGAAATAGACCAAGGGACTACACGTTAATCAGGGAACAAGCACAAGCCGATGCTGAGATACTGTTTACACGTACTTGGCCTACCCCCAGAACTGTGGGGTCCGACGTCCACTCCGCTCCCCCACGGCGCGGTACGAACGTTCGTTGGAGCGGGGCGTCGGACCCGGGTACAGCACTGCGCAAGCAAGGATTTTGTTGCGAGGCTTTTTCGTTGAGGGCGTGATTCAGGTGGACCGTGAGGCACGCTGCAGTTCAGTACCCATCCATGCAGCTCCCGGTCCTGACAGGCCGCATTTGAATCTTTGGACATCTCCCACTATTAGCAACCCCCCCCATCTTGCCACCCCCTTTTATCCAAGAAAATATCTGAACTACGAACACATTTTTTACAAAAGCGTACATAACATCTGCACCCCCCCAAAAAAAAACAAACCGAACAAAAATTCAGGCCACAAGCGTAGTTTGAGTACAGTCATTTCTTTTCAGGACTGGCTACGTCAATCTTAACTTTGAGTGTAAATTTCAAGCCATGGGTGTTGTAGGAGAGGGGCAAGGGCTGCTGGCCAAAACCTCTAGAAAAAATGTCGAAAAATAACGCAAAAAAAAAAGGAATGACCAAAAACAAAAGAAAGGGAAATCACCAACTTGATTAAAAAAAACCCTCAAAATTGACTCACTCCCACTACTCTATTCTGAACTCACGAGTGCTCTACCCCATGCAGAAAGTCCCAGAGACGTCATGTTTAAACTCTCAGCGCCATTGCTCACAATCTACTCCTCTGCGATATGATAACTCAAGTTGAAACTGAAGACTTGTTAAACTTTCACATGATCATAAGATCATCTGACAAGGTCGTCTATGCTGCAACAGTTTGCAAAACCCATACACCTCCTCCAAAAGAGGGACGAACTCCGTCACACAGCTTGGCTAAATGGAAGATGTACACTTCAGGCCGCATACGAGTGTGTACATCAACAAAACCAAAGCACGTTACAACAACAACCTTGGGACATAAAATATTACTCGTTATTCAGTCCACAAGTATGCATGGACTTATTTATTGTATTACTGTACACCAAACTCTGCCAACAATCACACTGTAACCTGTGACAACTTCGTTTCTCATGTATGACTGGCATTATTTAAAGTCCTTTTTATCACACCTCTACTGAAACCCCTTAAGTATTAAAACAGTCTTTTGAATGCAAATTAATGAAATCAAATTACTTTCTGCCCAAACATAGTGCTCAACAGTATTACGGAGATGCTTATTCTTTTTACACTCAGTTCATATCCCTATGTCCAATTCCAGTGATAGCAAAAATAGGGAACCAATTCACGTTTGTTGTCGGTTTTGCATACGGGGCTAGAAAAATCCAAGCGTAAAATGCTTGAGCTCCTATGGATTACCACTTTCCCTCAAAAGCGAGAGGATGAGATCACACACAGTACGTATACATCCAAGTGACTCAATGTGGCTTTCAATGTTGACTCTAGTTTTCCTCAATACATCAATAACCTACAGTTTCAACACTTCCTCGGCCCAAAGGTTTCCATTTCAGTATTTCGTCCATTTTCTCACTTCCGGAAATACTTCATGTACCTTCACATTCAACTTCCACTTGGACCATGAACAGCATCCACTTTCCACTTCACATCAGGTAGAAGTTGTCAATGGGAACTTAATATGAAAAGGTGTCTGGCAAACAGTATCTAAATTCAGAACAAAAGCAAATACTGAGAATACTGCTTGAGATTAACCAATTCTAGACATGCTTTATTTCCAACGTTCTGTGCATCATTTTAGTCCACAAGCTCATGGGTTTTCTCCAAGAAAGTTCTTCTTTTTATACTCGGTATGACAGTATGCACTTTGACGACAACATAACCTACTGACAACTGGCAACGTCAGACTGCTGCATGCACGCTACCAGCATCTTGTATGCAGCTACCAAATCTTTAATGATTTGGAAAGGATTCCAACACTCCTTACATGTAGTATAAGAATAATTAGTGTCCATTTCAGATCAACTCTTGAATAAAGAAAACCACTTTTGATACCTATGTACAATTTTTGAAACTAATAATTATGCTTTTCTGTATTCAACTGATGACAGATGACTGATTGGATGAAATACTGTTCAAAACAGACTTTCGATAAAAAGCGAAATGTTTCAGTCCTCAAAGAACTGGGGAATTTGACACCGCATGTGAACTTTGAAAAGGGCAAAGCACCAAACAAAATTATGCAGTTTGAAGAACATTACTTTAAAAACGCACATGGGGTGTCTAATAAACTTTACCAATAAAAAAGCATTATGCATCCAAGAGATGTTCTAGTAAACAGTGTCCCTCAAGCTACTAGAATTGAGTACATACATACCAAAGTACATCAGACAAGAACTTGTGGTTTTTAATTCAGAGTTTTTACAATTATCTTATCTTTCCTTCTTTTAATTTTGCCTTCAGACCAAAATCAAATAGCTACTCTCCGACGGAATTTCATGCAGTTCCTGATAAATCTTTAGAGGCAAGCTAAGAATGAGAATACAGGAAGGTGCACTTACACAGGTGCATGTAGGCGTAGAGCACCTACCTGTGGTCTACACCTACAGGTACATGTGTTCTCAGGTCAGTGTCTCACTGAGATACTAATATTGGTGAGAATGTGGGATTTCAGTTTCCTGATAACTTCATTTACAAATTATGCATAGTAGTACCATTTCTTTCTTTCATTATAACATCCAAATGCCTAAAAAAGTAACCATATGAATGAGAACCACGATGGGTGTTCTTCACAACAGGTTCTGCTGTATGGCATTGAACTTTACCTCTGGAAACTAGCCCTATTTAAGACAAAAGAGCTTGAAAATAAAATTTGCTTTGATGAAAAAACAGGATAACACTGAATAGAAACCATGATGGTTAGATTTACAAATATATTTATAACACAGCATCAAAAATAACATTACGCAAAGTGGCCAGAAATATGTTAGGAGCAGATATACACACTAAAACATTTGCCAGAATTCAAACTACAGTTTACTTTCTTTGTTAACACCAGATTTATGTTGATTCAAACTCGAAAGACTTGTAAGCTACAATGTACATGTAACTATAAAAGGATTTGCTATCAATGGCAATGCACAATGGCGGTCTGTCTTAAGAAGGGGGTTATACACCTGTAACAAAGTTTGTACAAGATAATTTTTTTTCTTTTGCTATATTTACAAAGATGTCTCCAACTGGTGTCAGAGACATGAGGGGGCCCTGGATCACGCCTCTGTTTTCACGCCCTCCGGGTTCACTGTCACAACGTAGGTGTGATCTGATGAGGTTGAGCTCAGCTGGTCCTCGGTCGGTTGGCCGTCTGGATTCACCTCCCGATTCTGCAGGCGGCTGGCCACGTCCGGCGAGGCAGTGTAGAGGCCAAAGGTGGTGCTGGGGTCCGGTACCTCCCGGGCATGAGCCAGGAAGAGATCCTTGAGGAGGCTGAGCTCCTTGGACAGCAGCATCACCTTGTTCTCCAGCTGCTGGTTCTCCTCCTTGAGCTGCTGCACCCGCTCCTGTGTCTCCTCCGCCTTCTTGCGGCTGCGGTCCCGGCTCTTGCGCACGGCGATGTTGTTGCGCTGCCGGCGGATCTTGTACTCCTCGCTGTCCTTGTCATGCAGATACTTCTTCAAGGAGCGGCCAGTAGTGTTGAGCTTGCCGCCACCAGGTTTACGGTTATCAGGTGGTATCTCCTTGTTGTTGTTAGTGTTATTCATTTCCATAGTTTGCCCCTGCACAAATAAACAAAAATACACAACAGTTCAGCATTTTGTTTCAGTCTCTGTTGTCCAAAATATTGGGTTGGGGAAATGAATGGCAACAGGCAAATCTAAAAAAATCACTAGTGGCTGGGTGGACATCCAGGACTTTCACAAAATGGTGGGTAGCAGCCACACAGTGCCGATGAAAACAACTGCGACATGCACGCGCACCAGCCAGTCACAGGACCGGGCTACACACAATCTTTTCTTTAATCAGTATGTGAGCACCCCAGCTGTTTTGATCAGTGGTTGTGGTCGCTACCCGCCATTCTGTGAAAGTCACGGATGTCCGCCCGGCCTATAGGCACTTGAAAGATTGTTTGAAAAGAAATTACGTACATTCATGTGAACTGTAGATAGTTTGACAACTAATTCACAAACTTTTTCTCCCATTATACTGCATGAAACCTTCTGTGAAATACTGAATTTACTGAGTTAAAATATTAATCATTGTTTAACCCCTAGTTTCTATGCAATCTTAGCAGTAGCCTTCCTGAATCTTCCTAAATCCCCCACTTCAACTCAAATATTTCTAGAGTACTAATTATCCAAGCTCAGTGCAAACCTCCCTGTATGACTAAACACAGATTAATGTCGGCAGGATGCACAAACATGCATATACATATAACTTCCATATCTTGTGTATTGATTGCAGCCATAGTCGACCATGTGGCTGAGGCTTATCTTCACAAGGAAATACATGTATGGCCCACTTTTTTCTTGGTACAAAGAACAAAGCTATGTAAGCTACATAGAACTCTTGGGGGAATAGAGCAGCACTTCTGTGGGTACACACTGTACAACCATCACAAAATCTATTTCAAAGATGGATTTGCGCCAGGGAGGTGACACTAATTTTGGATTTTTTGCCGTGCCCGACGTGTATTGTGACACTGTACACTCAGTGTACGCCCCCCATGTCAACACAAACTCCCTGTTCACGCCCTGTTAAGTATCATGTAGAGCCTATACCGAAAGAGGCTTGTTTTCTGAGGGCTTCGTCGGAGCAGGGCAGACATCGGATTCCATGGTTCTGAGGGTATTCATTCAAAGCATTGTGTGAATTGTCACCATGCAAAAAAGAGGTTGGTGTGCAATTAAGTAAAAGCTCAGATATTTAAAAAACATAGCTAGTCACATGGCCAGAACACCATTTTCCACTCCGTGAGATTTTTAGGGAAAATTTGATTGAGAAAGTGGATTTCTTGATTCAAGTCATGCAAGTACTTCATCTATCAAAAACTCCCTGGCATCAAGACCTCTTGGAACAGTAAGTTAACTACATGCTAACACCAATAACAGTGTAGTCGCCAGGTCCCTAATTTTGCCATGAATCGTCAAATCTGGTTTTCACAGTAAGTGGTGAAATAAGGGACCTGGTAACTATACGGTACCATCATGGACGTTAAAAGCTTCTGAGCTCAATTGCAGAATACCATGCCACCCTCACCATGCTCACAATCAACCTCATACTAGCCAGATACAGGTCACAGCGTAACACTCTTGTCACGGTCAAGGGTTTTCTACATTTACTCCTCTAACGTGTCTGTTAGAAGTATTTAAAATTCTAAGAACGAACCACACTAAGTTTAACGTACCAATGATAGCAGCATTTGGCACACTTCGAATATAATCTCAATATGAATGGTCTGCTACATGCACTCGGTGCGACTTGGAATCCCTTGCTAGCAGTAGTAGTGACAGTGTGCAACAACGGTGGCCCCAGCAAACTTCTCACTTGCACTGTGGAGTCAGTGCCAAGCTCAGTGTCAGCCCAGAGTGTTGGACCCAGAAATCCAGCACACAATCCTTGAACTAAATCAGCTGCCACTAATGTCTAGAGCTTTCTTAATTTCAAGAGTAAATATATACAGATCTGTACATCCACAACACTAAAAACGGCCATACAATTTAGGCTTCGAGAAACAGCAATGGCTGCGTCAACCATGAGCAGCGACGGTGATTACGCAATGGTATTGCCCAATCACACATCAGCCAGTTGAACCAACGCCAAGCACTACACGTAAACAAGACGAAGGCTGCGCAGACATCACTCACTGACTCAGCTATTGATTTAGGAGCGTTAATAGGTCTCTTACCTTCAACAGATAGTTAAGGAATGTGCTATGAAATCCGGAGGATGATTCTAGCATTGATCTCAGTTACCAGAGCTTAAAAACGTGGATTTTTTGGTCGCTGAACGCAGCGAAAACAAACCAAATATCACCTGAACGCCTCCATCATTATTTTTCTGAGCTTTGCAGGGGATTGATTGGTAACCGGTAGACCGTAATGTGTGATTTCATCCTGTCTACATAGTACCAGCTATAATAGCGTTGAGGTTGGTCTAGGCTCTTGAATGCGTAAGGAGCATTCTCTTTGAAAGCGTACTGTACTCGTAAACGTAAATAAATTGGTGTCTGTCTATTTACAAAAGGATGACGTTCTTCATGTTTTGCGAGTTCGGATCGTTTTCGTTGTGTGGGATTTTTTGCTGATGAGAAATTTATCCACGAGAAATTTTGGTTAGTCCGGCGAGCTTGTCGGACTCAATATAAGCTGGGAAATGTTCATTATCTAAAGGAAACCCAACGTTTTTTCAGTGTTATGAAAATTTATTAAGAAAATACATTGTATTTATTTGGCGAATACCATATATGATGAACGAGTTTAACAAAATTCGCTAACAATCATATATGATAAATGAGTTTAATAAAAATAATGGTGTGAAAATCCTACTTTTTTTGCATCACACACTAAACACAGAAAGCCAATTTTCCTGTCCAACTCAACTTTGGTGAAGAAGAGGTGAAGGATTTAATAACGTACGATATATCAAACAGAAAAAAATTCATTCGAATTTCTGTCATTTTCTTAATCTTCCCAGGCACCAACATTTTCAATTGGTACTGAGTTCAAAATGCCGCGCCCCCTATATATACTATGGTGTAAGATTCAGGCTATAGTTATATGCTTATAACTAAATTACACCACAGTTACTCATATTTTATGAATGGTGTAAGAAAAGTTTAGTCAAATTACTTTTCACCCGACAAAAGTATTCATTCTTTTGCAAAACCGCAAAAACCGTAGTCTACGAGAGCCTGCAGTGCATGGACGGAGTCAGGTTGCCATAGTGCAAGTGTTCTTTCCTCCTCGCCTTCCACCTCTGCGGCCCCGGTTCGAATCCTACCTTGATTGATCGGCATGTGGAGTGGGTTTTTGTCTACTTAGGAAAATCCAAAGTTTTTCTTTTACTCCTAATACTAAACATTTCTTCACTGTCTTTGTTGGTTTGGCTCCAAATAATTTAGCTTTCGACGGACGCGGGCTAGAAATAAATAAATTAATAAGAATAAATCGTTTTTTTTTTAGTTGGTGCTGAAGTCCATAAATTCAGAGAGGGGACAGAATCATCAAATTTTTGATTTCGTAGTCTCCTATTCTATTAACTGTAATTGCAATTATGAATTTCGCTTTTTGGAAGATAGTTGAAGGTTGCAATATTTTCGCCAGGGTGCTGGATTCTGATTCAAGATTGCGCAATGTCATGACTATTTTGGGGCATGCATCGTCACGGAGAATATAATGCCACGTGAAACATGTAGCCAATCAAATTCATGGAATAAACGTAATTTCTAATAATAGATGAACGTATTCACAGATCAGTTTAGTATATTAGTCCGCAACTCCATGTAGGGCCAATATTTGGCCCCATAAAAACGGCATGTTGAAGTATAATTTGCACAGTTTCTATTTCTAGCGACCATGAATTAAGTTTTGAAATAATTCTGCTTCTACTAAGTTTTACTTCAAACCACTCTGACGATAGAATGTTTTGGGGACTACCCAGCGTAGTGATATCTAAAAATCACCGACGTCATATGACGGAGAAGAAATCACGTTGCGCATGCTATTCTGCGCCATTACAACGTGACGACGTCGTGAGTTGGGTCAAGCAAGATTGAGAGTTGCTACTGCTACATAATACGTTAATTTTGTGAGTGAAATTCACTCTTTGACTGATCCTGCGAAGTAATTGAACACCTATACACAGTTTCCAGGAGAGTCGCCAAACATTGAAGGTTGTCTGTTCAGGTTGGCAGCACAACTTCAAACTGTTCAAGCCAATTTTACCCAACCATGTGGAAGTTATGCACTAGCGGCCATGGATTCACCGGGTAACTTCTGTATGTATGACTCTGAATATTATACCGAAAAAGATCTCGATAAACCAGATCAAGTTTTTCTTTTCGGTAACGAAGACGATTCGATGAATTTTGGGGGACTCGCCGATTATACCGGGCTGTTTCAGAACGAAAATTCGATTGACTTGAACGCCTATATTAACCCCTCAACTTCCCCTACCAACGGCTTCATCCAGCTGTCTGACCTTCTGCCCTCATCGCCCTCAAAGTCTACCCTTCCAACGGAGTTGCCCCCTTTGATCCGGCCAGAAGAGGCAGAGGCAGCGCCTGGCGCCCAACCCAACGCCAGACAAATAGCTCAGAGCACCTTGTTACCATCGGTCACAGTGGCTAACTTGCCCGACTCGATGCCCTCATCACATCCCCAGTTCATGCCACAGCCCCAGCTGGACTGTACGGAGGGAGCAGCCGCCTTGCAGGTGAAGGCAGAGCCCACCGAGCAGGTTGAGCCAGCCTCAAGGTACTACACTGATGACTACGACGACGACGACGACGACGCAAGTACCTACACAAGTGGCCCTTCAAGACCGGCTACCCCCATCCTTAAGAGTCCAGTGCAGCGCGGCCGGAAATCGAGCAAGTCAAGCTCCTCGAGGAGAGTACGCCTAGTTCTTGACAAAGAGTCCGAGGAATACAGACAGAAAAGGGTCAAGAACAATATAGCCGTACGCCGAAGCAGAGAGAAGAGCAAAGCCAAATCACTTGAACTTCAGAGCAAAGTCAAAGAACTTACATCGGAAAATGAACGATTGAACAAGCGAGTGGAGCTGCTGACCAAAGAACTGACTGTTCTGAAGAGCCTGTTTACAAATGTGGGAAAGTCGGCTCCCACTAGCCTGGCCAACATGCAAATGTGAGGGTGGTACAGTTCCCAGACCATGGGGTGGATTTAGCCCCTCCCAAGTGTTGAGTGGTGCACGTCACCACATTATGGGGTTCAGCATATCATGTTGGTTTTTTGTTAGTGGGAGTCGCCTTTGTTTTTGCATGAGATACTGTGGGCAAGCACTTGTGCATGGAAATGCAAGATTAGGCTCTGTTTTAAGTGCACAGAATTATGCGCATGAAACAAGTCTTCAGTGTCCTAATGTTTGTATCAATAGCAGACTTGCCAAGACCTTGAGGACCACAGAACACTTGCGTGCATGCACCGATTCCCAAGCAAAAAGGCCTAATTCACAAAAGCTGTACCACGTTGGCTCATGCAGTGAAAGAACCCTTGGTAAACATTTGTTTAACTGGACATTTACTTGCAGTTCTGGTGTTTGTGGGAGTTCATTGAGAAGGGAACTTGCTTCATTTGAATTGTGTCAACAGAGTTTCTACTTTCTTTCAAGGTTCCTTTTGAAGTACTTCAAGTACTTTAAAGATTGTGGTGTTAGGATATGAGGGAGATTCTAGGTCACCTTTTTAGATTGTAAAATGCTTGAAGTTATATTATAAAGTTATGTATTTTCTGTTTTGACTTGAGAAAGTACATATTTAGCTGATCTTTTATGAGAATTGTATGCAAATAATTTGCCTTGTATAACAGTGGTTGAAATTGGACATGACAAGGAAAAAAGTTTGTTGATCATTTAATCAATTGGCTTTGCATGTTAACATGATGTAGTATCTGTGAAAAATGTTAAATATGTATTTTCACTGCTTTTCGGTGGGGAGGGATTTGTTCATAAGTGACTTGCTTGTAAGTTTGAAAATTTTGCTGTCTGAGAATTTTAAAAATGTTTTAACTTGGAGTTCACCTTGTTCGCTGAGAACTTGAACTTGTAAGTACATTTTGCTACACTTATTGCACATTTAGTAGCCATGCTCCGTAAAGAAATGTGACATCATATGTTACTTATGTGAATAAGCCTCAACACGTGTTACTAGCAATTGCTTCTAAGCAGGGATTGAAATCATAGGCTCTTTGTATACATGTATTTTCAGTGTATTTGTAGCTTAAATGGTTACAGATATAGTAGCATCATGATTGAAATCGGTGACTGAAAAGGTTCACTTCTGTATGTCAGATATTCTGTGTTCCCTTTTGAGATTTACTGGAAACTTAATTTTAAAGTGATTAGAATCATAGTGCTCTGTTTTAGAATTAAGTAAACATTAAGGGGGAAAAGAAATTGCATTTGTCAAGTTGCATGTACTTTTCTTCCCGGTATTGTACCGTTGATCCGCTTATCAGGACCAGTTGGAACCGGTTTTATCAGCAAATTGATGTTGGTAAATGTACTGTCATGTAGGTCTGCCACCAGTACGTGACGGTTGGCATATACCTAATAGCCCTAAATCATCAGATTTCAGTATGATTTTACATACACCCTGGTGGGTTAGGATGAAATGTTTGAAGTGATTTAGATTGGGAGGAGAACTCCTGTAGGATACCCGACAACTGACTACATGCAATTGAATGTTATTAAACGAATGAAAGAGGCACATGGATTTAGTTTGTAAGACATAGTAAAAATTAAATCCACACGAGCATGAAATTCGGAAGGCTTCAGTCGCACAGTACATGATTAAGTGCAGAAGGAATTTAATTCTCAGACCAGTACACTGAAAATAAACATTCGCAAATCAAGGTCTATGTGTTCGTTTGCTTTCATTTTGTAGTATTAGAATGGCCGTTTTGGTAAATGAACAAATCTGGAAAATCCTGAGACTACCAATAAGAGGTTATATTAACAACTAAATATCACTAAATATCAAGGGTGGAGGGGGGCGAGGGTCATAACACCCCCATGGAGCAGTTTTTTTTTTAATAAGTGAAAGCCGATTTTTTTTGGGGGGGGGGTAGATCTATTTTATTTCACTCCCTGCCCATAACATGTAAAACGTTACATAGCTTCATCCCTCATGAAGGCCACATAAGGATACTCGAGACAATTTCAATTTTTGTTGTGTCCCCACTCCCCCAACCCCCCCCTCCCCGGACAATGTTCTGGGTTCGCCTAACACGTATAGATAGAGATGACTAATGGAGGGGGGGGGCTACTGTTAGACAAAATGTACTGTATACGAAAGACCCCACGTTGCTGCAGGGGCTTAAAAACATCTGGTAATTATTTTCCTTTTTATTTCACCCATGTTGGAAGTGCCAGGTAGCCCTGAGCCGCCATCTTTGCTTGATGCCCGGATAACAGTTGATGCAATTCCTTGAATTGGTAATGACATCATTCAATCCATTGCGTCATACGCTGTATGTTGAACGTGTACGAGGTTCTACACCAGTTCCGCATGATGTTGAGTGCGTGAAGCTCTTCGAGTAGGCTATGTTACACTTCCCAAGTTCGCCAACTGCCACACACTTGTCAACGACCCACTTTGGGCCTGACAAACTATGGTTGTTCAGCAGAAGTGAATATGAAACACGTTAAAAAAACACAACATGGAAAAAGATGAATGCAAACATTTGCCAGAACTGGATCGTTGGCAGTCTTAACAATCATTTTCTGTTACTTTGCTTCAGCGACAAATCCAGCTTTTGGTGTTGGGGGGATTCAAAAGCGAATGCGGCTTCGGGCTCATTCAATATGATGTTTGGGGGAGAACGAAAAACATCAAAAGCATCCTGGCTTTCATTTCATGGAATATACCGATTTCTTTCTTTCATATGAAGAAGTCTTTGTAAAAAATCCAAGGGAGAGTTCCCCCAAACCCCCTGCTGGACACGCCACTACTTTGCTTCCTTCTTATTTAATGTTCAAGACAATTTTTATTTGGATATTCACTGTCTCCCCGATGTCCGTTTTCTCATACAGTTGTTCTCCCTAATAAAGTCGGCGAAGCATTCGCATGCCCCATATATAGGTCGTAGACAAAGTTGGTGGCGGCCTCACAACTATGCTCACTTCTTCACTGTTGGTCAGTGACCCAACTCTCCAACACCCCCCCCCATAACCACGAGCAAAAAGAAACTAGTTTCTTACAAATTTGCAAGCTAAGGGCACGATAGTGCCTTCTGCGTGTACAGTGTAGATGCAATCTCATCTAAGCCCCGAATAAATACCACATGATATTATGAACCAACAATATTTTGAATACTGTTAACTGCTTATTCTGGGAAAGCTGCAGTCACCCAGGCCTTGTGTACTCTCTACATCATGTACTGAACTGTTGTGTTTATATCCGCCTGGATGTGTTATTTGCCAAGGTACGCTCTTGGAAAAATAAATGCAATGGCCTGAACATAGAAAAATCACTACTATTATCTGCAGTACACACAACTCTAAATACACTTTTCGAGCTCAATATCAAAACTCCCTTCCAGCTCTAAAAACGCACCCTGGAATAGGAGAAAAAACAGAGATAAAATCCAACTATTGTGTTAAGGGAGAAAAAATCTCTGAAAAAATTCCTATCCGACCCCCCCCCGGGAAATTTCTCTCGTGGGACTTGTAATAACGAAGAAATTTTACTGAGTAAACTTAGCGAGGCAAAATTCCAAATATTTTCTAAATGTATGGTGTTGAACCAAGGTTGCCCCCCTCTATTTTTTTTAATGATCAGATGAACAGGGAGACATGGTGACTGCGAATGCCTACAACAGACCTCGCACTTTTCCGGCACTTTCCGCTTTACTACCTTCCTATGAACCGCCACATAACTTGCATGACACACACCAACAGTTGCCCTTACACTTACGATGAGATAACAGTTCTCTTGTTATATACACGCTAAGAGAATTAATCAGATCTACATGTACTAGCTTAACCTGCACGATCCTTTGTTACAGGGCACGATGGGCGTAGGAAAAACTTCCAAATACATGCACATGGAAAATTTGGATTAAGGGGTGGATTGAAGATAACACCTTGTGATTTATTTGGAATCATAGAGCTACAAAACTTTGTCGTCCCCCTATTTCTTTTTTTTAATTGCTCCTTTATTGAGAACTTCCACAGGAGTTTTTTGACAATGCTCATAAAAATTCAAAGTTTCTTTCTTTTCAACACCTTCTCTTTTTCTTCTAGCAGCATCCCTGGCAAACACCTTGTGCCATCCCAGAATGCACTACAGTCTCAATTTAAAAAAATGATTTTTTTTTCATAAATTTATCGCAAAATCCACGGAAAATGTATGTACAGACTTGGCACTCCAAAAGACAATTTGTACGGTACGATATTACGTGGGTCAACAATAGGCCTATAAAAATTGTGCCCAGACACAGTAATAAAAGTTCACTAAAATGGTCCAGTTCATGTGACGTATCCAGTAAGAACGCCATACAGGTTACTCGTTAATTCGTTCTCAAATATAGCACTGGGATTGGCTCGAGTAAACCTTTTGTGTATCCGTTGTAATTAGATAAGCCTCTGGGGCACCATGGAGACGCCAGCAATGCATAACCTCTGTGCGAAAGTCACGGCCAAATCTTCTGTTGTAAGTTTAGTCTTTTTTGAAAATCATTTTGGCCAATAGCCAAACGATTTTGAAAAATGACTAGACAATAGAATGTTTGCAGGTGTGGTATGATTTTTCTAGTAAAAACCTTTCTGTGAACACGATTTCACATGTATATGATTAAGTGCACTCCGTATCACCCCGGCGGAGAGGTTCATGTTTAGCGCTAAGGTGTTAGAATTTAATACTGGGTCTTGAATCAGTACGCTACATGTACGCTATAGATGGGGGGTCACTTTACGTAGTACGCACCAATCTCCGTCTTTCAGAGGTAGCCCTTTGTTTTACAGGAGATTATTTGACATTTCGAAAAGGGGGTCCACTTAGCTTTATTATTAATGTGCAACTGTTTCTGAGCCCCCCTTACTGCAAGACCATGTCATTCCGAGGTGTGTCTCGGTATATCTTATGCATTCAGGAAGACAAATGATGGGTTCAACATTTCGCCCCCCAACCAGGTGTTGAAGTCATTCTGTGTCACCATTCTGAAAGGGGAAAAACCATTTAAGACTCTTGCTCTAACACAGCTGCTGGGACCAGTCAACTATAATACTCATTTTATGTTTGCTTTGGAAGATGGGGAAAAGGGGAAAATGAAAAAGATCTTTGTCCAGAATCTCACAACTTACAACTTTTACATTCTTCTGGGGCCATATAAACAAACTAAATCTTTGAGAAGAAAGTCCCCCCCCCAAAAAAAAAACACAAACAGCTAAAATCCTACGTGGAAGAAAGAGGGACTCATTTTTACATTCAAGGATAAATACAATATTAAAACACAGAATATCTTATGAGGGAAGGCGGGTGGGCAGTTTGAGGCTTACAGATACATGTAGTCACTATGCATGTGGGCCTGGTCCTATCACACGTGTGAGGAAGTGCTTTGACAGTGAACGTTTCTTCCTGGTGCCACCTTCCTCTGCTCTGCCAGCCTGTCACCGGCGCCCACGCACAGAAGGAAGTTTGATAATGGGTACGCGTGTATCGCCCATATCCGTGTGGGGCACTTTAATTCTTCAATTCCCTCTTTTGCTTTCGACGAGTTGGTAATCTTCCAACGACACTTACTCAACAGATTTGTCCATGAGGTAAACAATTTTCTTCCGAAGTTGCGACAGGCGTCTTATTCGTGTTTTGATGAATTCTTTTATCTAGATATTAGCTATGTGTTTTATAGCACCATGGTTGTGCCAAGACACCGCTCGTGGTGAAATGCATGCACGAGATGGTTTCCATACTCAGGCCGAGTCTGTCACAAGTTCAACTCAACGGTGTACAGTGTAGTTGCAAATTTTCATTTTGGTTGAGCTTGTGATTTTTATCCTTTCTCCTTTTTTTCACGAGATACAAACCGCACGCTGGGGGCGGGGATCGGCTGTATATGCACGTACAGACTGTATATCCTTTTTTTTTTCCAAAATGATGACAATATCCAGCACAGAATTTCGTTGCTTGTTTATATGTATTTTCGTGTTTTGGTTTTGTTTTCGTATTTAATTTATACACTGTAAAGAGCGGGCTGGTCCTGGGAAAGGAGCACGCTTTTTATGTTAGAGAAAATGGTGACAAAATTGATGGCTCCAGTCTCACTTGAGATGGCTAACTGGTACCTGCCAATGAATCCGTTTATTCTGAAGCTTATCAACAGTGGTATCTCGGTCAAAGTTGAAAACGTAACACGTGCAAGGTGGAATTTCAAGTGGTACACCATATAAGGAAGCTTCTGCACGGGCTAGACCCTCTGTCAGTGTCAGTCGCAAACATGCAGTGGTTGGGTTGAGATCAAAGTTCAACAACTTTGTTTTTTTTGAAACTCTGAAAAAAAATTCAAGAAACAGCCCGTTCAAATGGACACAGAAAGTCCATTGTTCGTCTCATAGAGGAATAAAACACATGGTGCTGGTAGTCAAGTCAGGGCAAAAAGAAAGCAGTGAGCCGAATACAACCTAGCTGACTGCAGGATCCTTACTGTTGTATGCTAATCAGTTGATGATGGGTGCAGCTCTTGCGCTGCCAGTCGTTGTCAGTGTGATAATACGTACTAAACTACTACAGTTATATGCAGATTAGTACTAGGGGAGAACGAAAGATCTAGCTTGCTTGAACCATGGAGGTAGGAACAGCTCCATGCTCGAACCCTCAATGCTTGAAGTGTTTATCGAAAAAGAAGATTGTTTGAACAAGTAATTGCTGTGTTTGCTTATATCGAGGTGATATCCAAGCTCCAAAGGTTGTGCTGATATTGCCAGGGAAATCCTGTGCTTTTTAATGATACGAGCTACATAGAAACCCCTATAATTTTCAATGGTCTCTTTTTCATTTTAGACTGATCACCATGGTTTAAAGTTTTCTGTTTCGGTTGATCATACTGCTCATGGCGAGGGTTTTGACTGTGCCTTAGTTAAACTTCAGTTAAAGACCTACACTGATGTTGCCTGATGGTACAGTGATTGCCGGTCACAGCAGAGGTGGCGATGTTTGAGTGGTGTCGATGGCGATGCTGTACGTGGTTTTCATTTGATTATTATGATGATGTCAATATACATGTTATTAAAGCGGCGATTTTCCTTCCTTCATAGTCAGTGACACTACTAATGAGTACTGGCAACTCAGCCAACACGTTTGGGAGTTTCCCCACGGCCCAGATTTTGTATGCAAAGCGCAGGTGTCATTGGAATTGAAGTCTTTAATAGATCAAGCACAATCCCATTCTACAGACCACGCACAGCACGCATACACATGGTACCGCACTCGGCTTTACACCACATGATCACGACACGTCATACTAACTTCAATATGAACAAGCTTGGGGCCCTCCTGTCACACCCTTATGTGATTCTTATCAGAGCTCATTTTGGGACAAAACCACATTCCAAACCAAACCATATGCAAGTACAAAAACTTCAATTTCGTGAAGAAATTTCGTTCTACCATGGTTCGACCAACAAGGTGAAATAAATCGATTTTTTTTCTAAATACTCAGTTACACGATTCAATTTCCACCACAGAGGGAGGAAAAGCCCAGGCTCCATGTTCCACCGACTATACAGCACTGGTGCCACGCAGCGCGAACCACGTGTACCACATAGGGTATCCCCAACTTGTCAGTACATGCCCCGCGGAGGCAAACCCGATTATCCCGCTGAACAATCGATTGTTGAACTGGCATGTGACTACTGTACACGCCTGCGTTCTTTTTCGCGGCACTGTTCTTTCATTTTCATTTTCGCCTACGTGCCCCATAGCCCGTAAGATTCCATACAGTTTGAGCCTTAGTCCCAGCGACTGAAAATCTATTCGTCTCCACGTCACATGACTCACGTTTTCTCGCTCCCTCCTTTGGAATGCCAAAAGTAGTCCCGTCTCTTTGCATAGTAACAAGGTTAACCTTAGTGCTGCGCTAGCGGGAATTCCCTCCTCGATAACAATAGCAGCAGCGCACTAGCCAACGTCATGTGACTCCGGACAGCGCTGCTGCCGCCCCCGCATTTCCCGGCTGTTCTTTTTATGTGGTTTGGAAGTTGTTTGTTCCTGTTCAACACAGGGTCACCTTCGCCGACCCGTATGGGCATACCAGGGCAGCCCTGGAAAATCATGTGACTCTGACACGAGGAAAAATTTCTGACAAACAAGTCGTTTATCAAGGCATAATTCAATGATCGGGGATGCCGGAAAAATGAAACAACTTGCCTGGGAAACTGAAAGTAGGGCAGTGAGCATTGAGCAAGCACTTAAAACTGTGCACATTTACAGAAGTTGTCAATTTAAACTGCATTTTAACAAAAGTACCAAAGTGTACTGACATATTGTTAACTTCAGAAAACCTTTCTTATTTTCGAATGTTATTTTACTTGCAAAATATAGGTCATGCGTGAAACTGTATCTTATATTATTGCCTTGAGCATAAGTAAAAGCAGCAACATTCTGTTGTGCAGAGTTGTAACGATCGGACCACTAATTCGAGTCTTTTTAATGTAGGCCTACTAACTTAACTTCGCTTCAATTCTGGACAGTAATACCGAATCACCCGCACATGCAAGCATACATCGAACCGGATCGGAAAGCTGGTATGTCTGTTGTCATAAGCAGTTACGTTTGACCCTGTGGTTGACATTGTGAATAATTTGGACTTGTCTATCTTGAGGTAGCTAAGCTGGACCTACTGCAAAGGCACCGTGCGATGGTCTTCCTCCAGGAGTAAAATATTTTGGTCAATTTTGCTCTACGTCTCGGGCCTTTCGATCCCTAAACGATGCTCTCGGGGGGAGCCCTTTTATATCAGTGTAGTTGAAGAGGTGAAAGATAGTTGGTGTCTAACTGAACGCTGGATGATTCGAGATGGAAGATTCGAAGCAGGCCTCCTCTCCTTCGGTTTATTAACGAGATCCAATTAGGCGCGCGTGCGGTGCGTACGACCGAAACTTTGCACCCTGCACTGTACATCACACTCCAGCCCCATTCTCGTTTGGACTTTAATAGAGCACACAGTAAAATGGTGGGTGCTTGTTAAAATAGAAGGTGAAAGTGACAATGTTTCCTGTATCGGTGAAAGCAAATACGGAAACCTTTGCAGGAAGCATGAGCCAGTTACGTCATGGTGTGGTTGGACGTAGGGGAGAGGACGACGTCGAAGTCCAACAAGAATAGACTGCCAACTCTCTCACTTCGGTGTGCCGCGAGAATTTCGGTTTTCATGATCGTCATTAATTGACGCCTTACTCGTCTTGTTGAGAAATATCAAACAAAAGCTTCGTCGGTGGAAGGAAAACTGCGCGTCAACTTTTGAAGATTAACCAAAAACAGACACGTTACTGTAACCGAGACGAGGATAAATGGAAACAAACAGAAGTGATGTTCACGAAAATGTGCGCGCGACGAGGAAGGCAACATCACCAAATGAAATGAAAGTCCATTCAAATATTGACCACATGCCTGCTTTCGAAAAAGCAGAAAAAATGTGACTCTTTTTCAAAGACCCCTATATTGTGAGCACACCATCCAAATTTTACTTGTTCAAAATTCCAAACTTTGAAGGAACAATTTAACTTTCAGTCCATGGAGATTAAACCAGAACCTGTTCCTGGAAATAACATATTTCTGATATCTGCAACCGATGTTTTGTCTCGAATCGAACTGAACTAATTATAAAATCTGATTTGGAAAACAATGGTCTCAAGTTTGCAATAATGGAAAAATGCCTAGGCTTGAGTAACGCTAAAAGCTAGAGATAAAGTAGGACAATGTTAAGAAAAACTAAACTGTGACAGGCTTCATGGGCTTTACCTATAAGCCAATAAATAGTTTTAACATGGACTTAGAACAATAACACCTAATTTTCTTTAAATATGAATTCAAAAAGGGCCTAGGGGGTTGTTAAACAAGAAAATGTTGGTTAAACATTTGTGCATGAAAAGAACAAATCCAGACAGGTCTTAATTAATACTCATCAGGTGGGATGGTGACAGTATTGGATGAGGGGGGGAATGGAACTGTTTTCCGAACAATGACTGCTCGATTTTTTTAAAATTTACACCCCCCCCCCGCGATGGCAGTACCATTTCTAAAATGCTAGAGCATTTCAATCCCTAGCACCAGAGGCTAGCAACCAGTTTCTGCTTGGCCACAATTTTCTGTGCAAGGCAATATTGTGCAAATTCCCGATACATGAGACTGGTACATTCTTAGCATCAACCCTTAAAGCAGTATACAGAATAGAAAAAAATAAAACGTCAAAGTTAACGGTTTTATAACCTGAATTCAGAAAAGTTTATAGATCCACATAGCAGACAATGACTGAAGTTCAATGAACAATACTGCAGTCTCATAAAAAGGGCACGGCCCTCAAAGACGGTCACCTTGCTGAGTAAGAGATGCTCCGCTACTCAAAACTTCTCAAACCAAAACTTACAAATAACCCGTAAACCTCTCTTGTAACTACAAACAGTACAGGAAAGGCTTTAGCTATCACTCAAATGATTCATGGTCCTTATGAAATTGAATATAATGACTTTGAGTCCAACTTCCCAAATATATGGCCTCTACATTAATATAAACCTTTTTTTCTTAAAAAAAGCTTAAACACTGATCAATATGTGGCAAAAAACCAGAATAAATCTAATTTTGTAGTTTAACCCCCCCCCAAATATAAAGGCTTGTTCAGCACAGAATCAAAATGAAAAAAAAAGGGATATGTAGCTTTTGATTTCATGCATAGATAGAAAGTTGTTCATGGTGAGTACTTGTTACATTAAGTTCACAAATGAATGATCACCACCAGCTGTGACCTGTTTAGGTGGTGGATTTGTAGGGAAAGCACCCACTGGAACATCATCGGTTTCCCTGCAAGCTTTATTGACATCGGTTATGTAATGCTCGAAACTAGGACAAACAGGCCGAAAGTGCAAATGTATGCTATTACGCATCCAGTTTCAAAACAACACCGGCCGTGCCTTAAACAAACACTGCGTTATAATGAAAGTGCCATTTCACCAGGGCACTTCTATTTTTGGTTTCAGACAACTTTTCTGTATATAGCAACAACTGAGAACACTGGTCTTCTTGTTGATTACGATTAAAAAAAAAACCACAAACTGGCAAAATACTTTGAGAGGCCAATTTGATGGAAATGTTGTTTGCTTCAGTCCTCCTAAAAAGGAGAATTTGGGAACAAGCCAGGAAGCATTCACTTCATTGAATCTAATTTATTATATATTATATTGTAAACAGTATCTTTTTACAGCCAACAAAAGTTTACAGAAACTCAAAGTGTTGGAAACAGCAGTAAAATTTAAACCGGGCAGAATGCCACACTGGTTAAAAAGTACATTCTAAACTCTCCTGATTCTTAAGGCTGAGAAACTTTGAATAACTGAATAATTACATATTTATACTTCCATTCAATCAAATTCCCTCTACATCTTGAGAAAAATGAATGTACACATTTTTACAAGAAGTAAGAAAGTGCATACCCAAACCTTGGAATAATTTGCACAGCCCTACTGATTCTCGACGAATGCGTCAAATCTTGTCTCAAAGAGACACTTCCTCCAGGTCAAAGGTTAATGGCTCACCAGGTTGCCTGCCAACACTTCTTAGGAAGCAGCTGACTGGGCCGATGCTAACTCCCATGATGCACTGGAGGTCGTACCCTTCTTCCTGGCTGTTGAGTGGGGGCAAGATGTGCTCAATGCTAGGCTGCAGTAACTGGAAGTGAAACCCCATTCAAAGGAGGATTGAGGCATTTTGTATTTATAAGATTAAGATGATAAGATTAATTCCCTTCCTTTTATCAAATTAAGTCACATTTGGTCATTTTTTTCATTTCATACAACAGCTGGACAAAGAAATATTTCAGAATAAATTTCAATGCAAATCAGAGAAATACACAATTACAGTCAACTCACCCGCACTTTGACCACGGAGTCCTCGCTTTTCAACGATGGACAACGGAGGAACAACTCCAGATGCTTACGGGTCACAGGTGAGGTCACCACCTTTTGACACGTCCCACAGTGCAACTGAGAACCACTAGTCAGAATGAAAGTTGTACAAGTTTATCCATTGCTACTCGAACTTTACTTTTGTCTGTGACTGAACAGGGCAAAGGTCACAGAGTCCCAAGATAAACATTTGCTCCGTGCACCAACACAAGACTGAGATGATGATCATTTCCTTTGGTAGAAACTCACTGGATACCGACACAGGTTTGTGCGCATTTGTGGTCTTCATCTGTGCGCAAAAAATATATTGATACGCTTCCCACCAGCCTGACTCTTGTTGCTGATCGGGGGGGGGGGGAGTTGTGGTTCTTCAAGGGGGACAATAGTGACCGCAGAGTCTATCTGATTTACTTTCCCCAAACCCGATTTTATTTCTTGCTCTGTTCTCCAACACAAAAGTGGATTGGAATCAAAGACCATAAATCATGAATTAGCCCTTGTTTTGATACAGATTGCCAGTATATTTAATAAGGGGATCAGTGTTTCAAATGCTGTTGTTACACCTGATTGTCAGGCTTCACAATTTAGTCACATAATGCATGTACCTCTCTGCACAGGCTAAAGATGATCATCTATGGGCTCCATATGTATACACAGGTCCTCCATGGTGAAAAACATTTCCTAAGATGACACCCTGGTATCTTTTGTGCACTGTTTTCAGTAGCCACAAGAACATGATTTGGATTTATGCACACTCTGTCACAAATGCTCAATTCATCAATCAAATGCTTGTGAGTCGTTCTACTGACAATCTGTTCCCACTCTGAAGTGGTGGCATGACTGCTTGAGAAGTGAGTATACCAAAATGCATTGCACAATTTCTTGTGTTAATCTCTTTACTTTGTACTGATCAAGGCTGCTCCCTAGCATACAGCTAGCTACAGCCCATCAGGTACCTGGTAGTCTCTGCTTCCAGTCTGTTATTGCCACAAGTGTTGCATGCCGGCCAGCTGTATGCAGTTGTCTCATCTACTCCAGTCACCACTCCTTGACAGGCAAAAAATGAATGAATGAATAAAAATCAACAGCAAATCAAAAAATTGACAACTTCAGTTAAAACAAACCCCTACAAAGAAAGTACGCAAAAGCAAAGATTTGTGACAGAAAGGCTAACAACATCTGAACCATGATGATCTCCTTACAGCAAAGTTATGAAATGACAAATTTTTCTTAGATGCTGATCCTTAATTGTCTATTAACCTTCATGTTTGTTATATGTCGTGTAGTTAATGTCAGTTGAAACAGACTATTACATATTTTGCCGAGTACATGTACATTGCCAATCAAACTGATCAAACATAATTTAATGACCACAAGGTGTATATCATACATCAATTTTCTTTATTTCTTAAATTAAAAAAAATCTCTTCAAAAATTAAGAACATTGATTCCCTTTTCCAGCTGAAGTCAAAGATAACACCGGCTCCATAGGGACCGAGTATTCTGCTACATGTAATGCATACAAGTGAACAGAAAATGGGGATGGTACTTAATTATTGGGGTATTTCAACCCCAAAAAAAGGGTGATTCATTTGAAAATTGGAAGAAATGGAGTTATTTGATTCCATGTATTTCCCCCTGCTCCACGTTTTGACCTTGCATATATGTTTATATGTATAAAAGTGATCACGTATACCTGCTACAGAAACGAGAGTGTTCTCTTCATTGTGAAGATCGAGCGTTGGGATTGGTGGAACGGGAGCATGTGACAAACTGCTGATGATGTCGTCCTTGGGGCTGAATGTATCCGACTCACCACACTGTCCAGTTTTCCTCGCAATGCTTTGTATCGCAGTGTAGGTGTCAGCGTGCAGAGAACATCCTGATGGCAATTATTGCAAGAAATGGCCAACTCATACTTCCTCTTTCTGGTTGAAGTATTATGTTCATATTGACTGCACGCTGTTCATATTGACTGCACGCTGTTCTATCTCATCATTCAAGAATCATATCTTTTCTTGCGGGAAAAATTTGTACTTTGGAAAAAGTAACGAATATGGTGAAATTCTGCCAAATTGCCAATGTAAATTTTGTCTAAAGTGTGACAGAATGTGACAAACAGTGGGACATTTAAAAACAGTCTCCTAAGATTCTATGATGAACTCTTTGCTTAACAAGTTGGACCTTGTCCATTGACACATGGAAATGTTTCCTATCCATGTACATACAGAGTGTTCGATTACCTTTCAGTACTAGATTTTTAATTTTTTCCCCCAATTCGGTTCACTGATATTTAACACTTGCTTTACCTTGATCCAAGCACACATCTCGGAACAGCATCAGACTACCAGGATTTGCTAGACTCTCCTGAACACACTCCGTTAAATGACAGGAGACTCTCACGTGAACGTAAACAAGTCTTGTATCTTGACACTGATGTGCACTGAAACCAGCTCCACCTACTGGAATACTACGTCCAAGCATTCCCGTCATAGTGCCAGACTCGTCTTCTTCATCTGCTGTAAAGTCACTACAGAGAGTGTGGTCTGTCAGAAAGAGGTGCCTTACTGAGCTACTGCCCAGTTGCTGCGTAGACTGCATATTGTCAGCCCCAACTTCTGAGTGAGCGTGGACCACTTTGGCAAAGAACGTCACTCGTTGAGTAGATGTTTCATCAGACAGCTTAAAAAGAGAAATTCATTTATTGGCATGGTTTAACACAACAATATCACTACCAGCGGCATTTGATCTATAAATCCCCCTCCAAAACATTACTAATCACCCTTAAGAATGACTTGGATTATAAATCTCCTAGAAGTTCCACTGGTACTTGTGAAACTATCAATTGTAGAAGATTTTAAAATTATTATCTCTTTACATGCTGAAATTGTCACATGATTATTATATGCTGGAAGTGACTAACATCTAGCTAAAAATGGCAGAAGTTAGTCCAAGCTGCAACGCGGGCCCAGGACTTGATTGCCAGATGATAAAGAAATGATAAACTGCCCATATAGCACATTGCAAAAATGGTCATGCGACCTTTCCACTTAATATGTAACAAAAGAACACTGGGCATGACGTACTCTAATGATGGTAATGTGTACAAATTAACACAGCACACGCAATGCAGCATCGAAACGCTTTCCAATATGGGGCAATTCACAATGCCATGCACTACCAAAAGGTTGCCTAAGAGTGGCCACTTTCGCAGTGCACTGTGGTAAAACAGTCCAAGAAAGCTTCCTTACACTGGCTGTGCTGTGCACGGAGAACTTGAGTTGTTCCACTGTTTTTGTCTGGGTTTCAGATTGAAAGTGTTAAGAGTATCCCTGTTCATTAATATGAAATGATAGTCTTTTGTGAGGTAAAGAATGCCAAGATCAATCACACATTTCCTGAAAGTATCTACTGATGTTCCTTCAAATGCAGATCGAATCAAGTCGGCAGATTTGTTGTCAACCGTAATATTGAAAATGGCCTCTCCATGACAACCTCATGGCGGCACACTGTATTGTGAATCGCCTGTGTTAGTTTTAATCCCAGCAGAGAGGAAAATGCCACTAAGGCCTCCTTAATTTTCGAAGAAGCATACGCAGCCAAAACATGTCTCACTGATCCCAGGAGTAAATCTCAAGTTGCAGCTGTACATAGTAAACCACTGTGCCCTAGGGCACTGTGCAAATAAGGACTGACAAGCACATTTTCTGCTTTACATAATTAGGCCCACTGTAGATAGAGTGTAAATGCATCTAAGATTCAACACTCTACAGTATTCAAGCCCAATGACCTCAGAAGCATTTCCATTTATGTGGCGGGGGGACATTTCCAAATGGCTGCTTTATTAGTAGAAGATATCTTCTGCAGGTTGGAGGAGATAAAATGGTGCCGTGTGTTAATACATTCGCAATGGTCATTCAAGTGTGAACTGTACATGTATGTAGTTTAAGTCGCACTTGTCTCTTTCAGAACAAAATACAGGTAGCAACTTTGCTTCGCTTTTCTTAAGTTTACGAGCAGTGAAGAATGAAACTTTAACTATTTTCAACACGCATCAAACTTGCAGATTATCAGGATTACATTAAGCAAGCAATGCTAATTTTAAGCATGCATGGAGAATATACTTTTACAGCATGGTGCAATGTTATAAAACAATGTGGGGCATGCTCAATCTTTTTCATACATGCATGTCTCAGGTATGGATGGTAAGACCTGTCATTAGTACTTCATGACTAAGAGTAACACAAATAATTCATTTGTACTTTGCGTCCTCCAATGACTCACGTATACCTGCTGAACCTCTCGCAGTGTGTGTATCACTGGTTCTCGGTAGGGTATTCTCACCCTGTCTGACACTTCTTCCCTGATGGTGTTCCTCAGCATCTGCACTCCAAGGATGTAGCAGAAGCTCTGTGGTGACACAAGTCCCTGCGACTGGAAATTGAACAGTTCAAGAAATAAGTACCCCAATAGTTGAATGTGCACTGTTGAACATCTCTGTATTGTGTTAGGGTTAAACTGTTGTGTAGAGTACAATGCTTGAATAAATCCCTGCAACTGATTGTTGATCATGCGTTACAAAAAACTGGTTAGACTACTTCATTAATAAGTAACGGTATATGGATCGATTGACATTCTGTTGGAGGCATTATAACTTGACTCTCCACACAAAATCGACAATAGAAGACAGGAACACTCTCCTGACAAAGGAATTTCTGAATGCATATGCCGCTTATATGCAATGCCCAGCTGCCAATGCACAGAAATGTATTGAATATGCTGATAGAGAAATATGCAAAGGAACACAAGGACATTTGTTAAAGCTGTAACTCATTTGGGACTTGACAACTTCTTGTGGCAGGTTTCTGCCGGACCGCGAAAGGAAAATAGCGAGTTATGCACAAAGAGGATTAACTCGGGTACTGTATACAACAAAAATTTCATGTTTCCAATTTGCAAAGTGGAATGACAGATGGAATGTTCTATGCCACTTGGCTTTGTGTCATAAAATGGAGCATTCCACCTGTCAAACCTTGAAGTCAAATCTCACCTGAGACTCTGCCTCTGACTGGCTGATGGGAGTGTCGCACGGGGACCACAGGGAGTCAATCAGGGAGAAAAGACCTGGGAACCTGAAAGAGTGAAATATGGAGACTAGATTATGAATTTGTGGGTTCTGTGAAAGAATTACAGGACCCAGATGTCCTTCCAGCTGAACAGAAAATGAATGAAATTATGCTTCCCATTACATGTTGATATTCATTACTTGGTTCAAATGAAGCTTGAAAAAATCTTTGTAATTAATGTAACTGGCAACTTCTTCCTATGCAGGACTACATGTACCAGCCAGTTTCATTCCTCACTCGCTCACTACTGTATCTGCAGTGTCAGCATCACTTATCAGAATTTTCAGAAGGTTTCAAGTCAGAAGAAGGGGCAGCTCTTCATGTTCATTGAGAGCATTGACCATTCTGTGCAAGGATCTGCATTATAGCAACATCAACAAAGCAACCACACAAACAGGGAATTCAAAGCCCAAAGTGCTGTCCAACTGTTTTATCACACCGCCTTTGAAGTGTGGAATGTGCCATGAGTTTGTGATGAATCATTCTTGCAGCAATCCACCAATTAGTTGATAGGTGTTCCAACTGTCCAGTATTACCTTGTTCGATTCACTCGTCTCATGACCTTCAGACCGGCAAACACCATCGTCTTCCCCTCTCCCCCTCTTAGACTCCGCCTCCAAATCTCCTCCTCCTCCCCAGTGTAACCAACAGTCACCTGGAGTTCGCAGAAGACTCCGTGGTTGTCCTGCAAGATGAGCGCCCAATGAGTTGACCCAACAGATGACTCATGGGTGGGTTTGCTGAAACCTTGTTGCTTCCTGCAAAGCCAGTATGACCCCGGCAATTTAGAACCACGCAGACTCAATCAAATGTCTAGCATTTTTTATTCATTTTTTTTCTTTTCCTCTTCTGATACAAGTGGTACTAAACTTCAGCGTAAAACTTTTTAAATTTAACTAGGTTAAATTTCAGTTGGTAAGTTGACACTTGCAAGTGTAACCAGTAACAATTTGGATCAAAAATTGATTTTTTTTAATAACACAAATCATTTCATCTGTCGGTACATCTCTCACAATAACTGCGCACTGAACAACATTCTAGGGCCAAGTTGTAAGTGACTTTGTCAAACACGCAGACGTGCAACGATTTGCAGGCTCCCATTGGACGATCGATAAGTTGCGTGCATTAACTTCCGGTTCCACGGTTCCATGTAAACAATGATGCATGTAACTCTATGTGCAGTGCATGTGCAGTGGGAGTGGTTTAAACTAAAGTGACATCACACTTACAAGGTGAGAGACTGGCCAAGCCACATGTACAACACATGGTCCACTTCCATGGCTAGCCAGATGATGTGTACGTGTACAAAAACAATGGGAGCCACTCAAGTGCTACGTACACTGCAAAATCGGGGTAATAACCTTGATGGCTATTTTAAACTTGTCTTCAGCTACACCTGTGAATATAATCCCAGTGCTTACACGTCTTCTGGGGTGAAGTGGGTGAGAAAATATGTACAATGAGCCTTATTTGTGAGTTGGCTGTGGTGAAATTGAAAGCACTGTTAAATTTTCATTTGTCAACTTGAGGGCATCAGTGAAGGAATAAATTTAAATTTTCCGACAAATTGTTAGCTTTTACTCTGATGAATACAGTTAACAGTTAACAATTACAACGGAACAGGGTTGAAAATTGCCAAAGTTCTGAGGAACAAGGTTCACTTTGTCATTATGAAACTACATTAATCCTAATTCCCGTATTACCTCACACTACAGGTATGCTGGAATAGTTCTGTCTTCATGCTTTCATTGCAAGCAACTAATTACAAAACTATCTGATCAGCCATGTGTGGTTACCTATTCATTGACACAGGCTCAGCATTACTGCCTCGGCAGTGCACCCTGTGAATCCTAGCTCGCACGCACATGCCTGCTGTCGTGTAGCCCCCGCTCTGTGCAATGCTGTCCAGGAAGGAGTCTGAAACATGGTCAGCGGGAGCCTCCTTTACATTCGGCAGAACCAACTGCAGTGTTGAATCTGCTGATGTCGTTTGTTTTGGGAGGGGCTGGAAGAGTCGAACAGGTTTCAGCTCCTGAGGAGAGGAATGGAGGTCAAAGTCAGCACTGACCTCTCTCTATCTCATAGAAGAAACTTATATCTTAGTAGCACCTAACACATACATT